TTGCTCGCTTGATTCACTAATGGCATGCTCTTCGTTTCCGTTGACGCATTGCACCTCAGTGTTTCAACCTTGAATACAAACTATTTTGGAAGCAGTTAAGTGTACATATGACGTGACTCGCTCTGACGCCGAGCTCATGGTTCGCCTTCTGCCGTAGCCTGCACCTGGCCCGTCCCCACCTTATCCAGGTGCGAACGGTCGCCGGGCAGCGGCGGCGGGCGGCTGCGGGTGTGCGTGTCGGCGCAGAGCCGCTCCACCCGCAGGGAGGTGGCCTTGACCTGCAGGCTGTCGTCGAGGCGTGCTAGGTGCGCGCGCAGCCGGTGCCGCGCCGCCCACAGCTGGCTCAGCTGCTGCGCGAGGTCCGACTGCGTCTCCTGCGGCGGCGGTGGCGGCGTGTGATGACGTCACGGCGGTCAGTGTGCTGGTCTGGTGACCTGACGCGGGCACTCGACAGACCCCGAACCACCACTGTTAACCCGCCGAGGGGTGTATGTGTGCATGTGCTTAGTGGCGCGGCGACTGCTTGTCGCAAAGCGTGTGATGACGTTACCCATAGCCGAGGACGGTTTAGCCCGGCAGACGTCCCTCCCGTCGCCGACGTAACGAACTGATGATATTTAGGGTTTATGGGCGCATAGCTCGCGCCCCAAGTCTCCTGCGATACAGGGGATCAAACACTGCCGCCCAGAACACCCCACAAGCCTACGGCTGGGGATCAGAGCTCGAACTTTGGCTGCCGAATCTCGGTGACTGTTCTCGCCTGCCTGGTCTGACCACCCTCCCTGGATAAAAAACAAGGATGCAGAAAGGATCGAATGTACTCCTGGGGTCTCTTACGCCCATGGCTGTGAAAGGTCTAAAGCCTCCCAATCTCCACGTTACATGGGTGTCCCACCTGTACATTGGTGGCCTCGGCGCGCAGCCCGCTCCAAGGCGGGTCGAACACGCCCTCGCCGGCGGGGCGCTCCATGCGCCACTCGAGGCGCGTCTCGGCCAGCTTCCGGTACGGGTCCTTGTCGCGGACGGCCGCCTCCAGGCAGCGGATCTCCCGCTCCGTCTCCGCCATCTCTTGCTCCACCTGGTTACAGCAGGGTGAGCTGGTCAGCAGGCACTGAACGCTATCTACCGCTCCGCTGAAACAGGCCGACGCCTCCCGGGCTCGAGGTCAGAAATTGGCGGCGAAAAACGCGCGCAAGCATCAACTCCAGCTCAACCTAATGCGGTGCTGCGTGTGAAGCTTGGATGATGCACCGTTCAACAAGCTCACTTTTACTGGTAAGTGCTCAAGCGTTTCGATACCATGCTCGGTTGTGTTGACGCTAAACGCTCCAGTTATGCAAACGGCTCTTCTCAGCACCGCTTCCAGGTAAAGTGATGACGTGTTAGAAACGACGTCCTACACACGCCATGCAGGAGCGTCGACACTCGCAACACGCAAAAGCGCACGTGTGCAGGTCACAGAGCTGCAGAAGCTTTAAGAGCCCCCCCCCCCCCGCAACTACCCATTACCCGTTAAAAGAACCTGAAGCTGAGAAAAACAGCGTATGTTGAAACACAGTCCAAAATCTCAACTGCTTGTTAACCCCTGTTACGGCACGCCCCCCCCCCCCCCCCCCCACCTGTTTGTGCTGCCAGGCCAGGTCGTCGTGCGCCTGGCGGAGCTCGTGCAGCCGCCGGCGGGCCGCGAACTGGACGGTGGCGTGTCGCGAGGCCAGCTCGGTTCTGCCGCGGGCGGCTGTGTCGACGGCGGCGGCCCGCAGTTGGCGGGACTGCTGCAGCTGGTGATCGGCGGCGGCCAGACTCGCGCGCGATGCGTCCTCCCAGCGGGGCACCGTCAGCGTGCTGGCGACAGTCGCGCCGCACCCTGTGTGCTCGGTGGTTCTTAACATTTGTAAACACCGCCATTTGCCTTCGAGCGGCGGTGACGACACACCAATGGAGGCACTGTGACAAGTCTCGCACCAAGCCGAACCATGATCAAAATATGCCGGTCTTCTACCCATCCTCGAGGAGGTAACAAAAAAACAAAACAAAAAACAAAAAAATATTGCCACATTACACACCAACAGCGTTCGTGCCCACGGTCAAGCTTGCGCCTTATAACTGGAAAATGGCCGAACTTTTATTGATTTATCTGGAGTACTTTTATTGAGTTATTTGTAGTTGCATTTTACGACGTATGTAGTGCTTTTCTGGCCATTCAGTGTCGCGATCTCCCAAGGCGATGGTAGGGGAGGACGTCGGAACACTAGACCTCCCGCCAGGCCCAAACCGACGACTCGGCAGAAGGTCGAGGGCGAGCGCCCCACAGCTACGCTCCGCCGTCCTCCACAGCCACACGCCAGACTCATCAATCTCCGCAACCCAGACACCGTCACCGTCGATGGGCGTCCAGTCCTATCAGAGGTGTGGTTGCCAATTCAGTTGGGAGGGGGGAGGAGGGCTCCGACCCCCAGATTTGATTTGTAGCTCACCCTAAATTTTTGCGAAGGAGGAGGACCAAAGTCGGAGAGGAAACCGTTGGATGGCGTAATGCGAGGTGGCTTACGTCATTTTCACTGCGCTACCCCCCCCCCCCCCCCGCCCTAACTCAGTTTGCGAAAGCATGCCCCGGGGTCCCATCCTTACTCTTTCGGCACGCGGGAGCAGTGTGGCTTGAAGCTGACGCCGGGGCTGTGCGGCGTCAGTGCCAGCGCGGCCGAGTCCACGTGCAGCGCCCCCTGCTTGCCGGCGATGTCGTCCAGCAGAGCCTGGCGCGCCTCCGACAGCCGACACAGCTGCTCGAAGCACTGCTCGCAACGCTCCCGCAGCTGGTCGCGGAAGCCCGTGACGGCGAGGATCTCCTGACGACGGACAGGCAGCCGGGATGTGTGGTTTAGCAATGCAGGCTATTTGACTGCAACAGCACGAAAGAAGCGTAGCTACGGAAATCACAATGGAATCTGTTCTTTTCTCTCGTGCCTTCTGCAGGTACCAGTAACGTTCTACTTCTGGGCCGACGGCGCGAACTGCAATCCTAAGAATCCTGGTGAGCTTACTATTGCTTCTATTGCTACAACTGCTGTTCGCACCTCAATGCTGGTCATTTACGCTCCCGAAACGGAACATTCCACTTCGCCAGACGCCCCACCTTCCCGTACCTGTTTCAAGGCCTCCTCCACGTCGTCCCGCACCACATCCTGGCGCAGCCGACCCTCGCGCTGAGCCAGCGCCTCCTGCGCCGTCTCCAGGTCAAAGTGGCGCGCCTCCCGCTCGTCCTCGGTGACGGTTTTGGCACGGGACAGTGCTGCCACCTCGGCGTCAACGGCGGCCACCGCTTGTTCCAGCTGCACCTTCCACTGCTCCACCTGGCTCAGTCTGGGGCGACATGGCTGGTCCTGTTACCAACTCTCGGATGTGTTACAGAGGTATAACGCCTATAACACAAGTAATCACGTCAGAGTAATTACATTCACAGTTCTGAGTGTGATTAAACGCCAACGTGCCGTGGAACCCGAACACAACACACTCGCGGTGTGTATCCTGAACATGCATCGAAGGCCTGAATAATGTAGCTTAACGGCATGCTAAAGCTCCTCCAGATAAGCTGATGGCGATTTGGGGTTTTCAGGCGCACCGACTACACTTGGTCATTTGGCGCCCAAGACGACTTCCGACGGGCATGATCGTGAGAATGCAAGATAACACGATTGAGAAAGTTATCGCCCTGCTGAAGGCACATGCGTTTTCTCCAGGTACCACCATTCTTGTGACAACAAAGCTCTCACTGAGAGGACACGTCCCTTCAGGACCGAAGCCGCACCTGTCCCTGAGCGAGCTCCTGCCCGAGTGCAGACCCGTCCACAACTGAGCAGGCCCCGCCTCACACCCCAGCACACCTCTGATCGGGCCCCACCGCCGACCCACCTGTCCCTCAGCAGGCCGCTGTTCTGATGCTGCTCCCAGACGGTGCGGATAGCGGCCTCGTTTGCGGCACGGCCGGCCCGCTGCCGTAGCTCCAGGCTGGTGTCCACCTCGGCTCGCGTCGTCTCCCCCAGCTGCGCGTTGTGCCGGTGCCAGTCAGCCACGCGGTACCGCGTCGTCGGCTTGTGCTGCAGCTCCGCCATCGTGAGGAGACGAACCGCGATGCTTCGGAGGCGTGGCAGGAGTGGGAGCGTGCGCGGCTGGGAGCGGGGTCGCGCCGACAGGCCGTCCGCTCTCCGTGAGCACCAGCTCGCTGGCTGGACAGCGGCGGCTGGACGCGGCGGCGGACGACGGCAGCCCGCTCCTTGCTCACACCCGCCCCGCTCGCCGGAGGGCGCTGAGCGTCTCCGTGGTGACCCCCGGCGGACTCATGGCCGGAGCCGGCGTCGGTTCGCCGCCAGACCGCCAGGCAGCCCCGCTTCCGGACACTGCCTCGCCCCGCCACGCGCGAGCACGGGCCGCGTTCCGACGCAACGCGGCGGCGTGTGTGGTCGATAGACGGCGGACGGGGGCGACGCGGCCGACGGGCTCATGCGGCCCGCACACGCACGGCCCCCGGGCGGCGGGGCCGGCAGAGACGGGACGGAGCGGCACGGCGCTCGCCCCCCCAGGTGTGTGGTTCACGGGAGGGGTGAGCGGGGGCGGGGGGGGGGGGCTGGGGCGGTGTTGCGGTCAGCTGGCCCTGGAGCCTGAGGCCTGCCGGTCGCCGAGCCCCGGGGTGTGGCTGCAGAAGCCTGCCAGGGTCGTGGGGCAGTGGGATCGAAAATCGGCCCCGACCGGTACTTACACAAACGGAAGGTTTCGGAAGGAAGGAAGGAAGGAAGGAAGGCAAACGGAAACGGAAGGTTTTATCAGGGTTCTTGTGAAACTAACCCCGTGCTTACCTAATGTGTGAACGGCAATGACAAGTATGAGCGGTGCTCATCTCGCTAAATGTTCTCGACACGTCCGCCATCGCACACCCCAGGCTCGCGAAACACTGGCGAGTTGCTCCGTCCCGTTCTGTACAGACCTCTACCCCGTCAAAACACAGCCGCCGACGTATGAGCCATATATTCAACGCATGTGTAATGTTAAGATCGGGTACGCCACCGCGCGGCACCGAGACATATGAGACAGCCGACAATCGAAGCACACACCGCACGCCACACCGCGCTAGCTCTATGGAATGATTAGGGGCGCGCGGCGGCGGCGGCGCGCGCGCTCGCGTGGCGCCGGCGCCGGAATGTGGCGCCCCGGCCGGTGCCTGACTAGAGGGGCGGCGGCCGCGCGCCGGCCGTTCAGCTGCCGGCGCGCACCGGATGTTGCGGCGAGCCGCCGCCAGGGGCGCCACTGCAGCGGATGCGCACCGCGTCCACCACGTCCAGCAGGTTCTTGGCGTCGACGGCCAGCACGTGCGCCGACTGCAGCATCTGCCTGCGGACGGGGGGCGGGACGGCGGTCAGCGGCCGCCGGTTGGGATGGCACTTGTCCGGTTCGTCTTCCGACCCCACCACAACCATGGCGCTCGTCGTCGCGGAACATGACGGCAGCATCGACACGCGAAACCCCGGCACGGCTGGTGCCGAGTTTCGCGCTCTCCGTTCGAAGACTGCTAGCTGTAGAGCAAGCGCGCTACCAAGCAGGCAGTCCACGTTCAGTCGGAAGTCATGATGCTGGTCAGCGGCAGCCATGGCGACCGGTGACTGACATGTGACATGGTGGCTGACTGACATGTGGCATGGTGGCTGACTGAATAGTGGCATGGTGGCTGACTGAGGAGGATGCCGCTGGGTCCTAGCCACAGGACAGCAGACACCGCATATCGGGTTTGGACTTCACTCCAGCAAAGCTGACAGCGAACCTTGTACTGGTTCTGCCAATTACGGCAGCACTTCAATGCCAATTTTGAACCAGCGCGATATGGCAGCAGTTGCGAAGCGCAACACGAGCTGCCGGCCGCCGACTTCCGTCTAGCACAAGGCGCACAATAGGCAAGACCAACGTTGCGAGTAACAACGCCAACAGTCATAACACCAGTCCACATAGAACGACCCGTGACCTCCGCCGATCACCGCCCTCGGGTCAAGCGGTGATCGGCGGCGAGAGACGGGCATGCGCGTCCGAGGACCTCCGCTGGCCGTGGCTTACTTCCTGTACTCCTCGTCCAGGGTGGTGGTGCTGTAGCGCTGCGCCTGCTTCATGGACGTCACCAAGTCCTGCATGTCCTTCCCCAGCACCTTGTGCGCCATCTCGATCTGAGCCGAGCGCAGCAGGCGTCACACGAGTGACAGGTAACAGGTAACACAGTGTGCTGCCCGTACCTCCTTCACACCTGATCTGCGACTCTTCTCGACTATCTACTACTTTCGGCGTGAACGTCTCCAACCAGCGCGCTTGGTCTCCGCGTCAGAGTTAAGCGTTGAGTACTACACGAGGGAGCAAGAGGATCAGCAAAGCGTTCATACCGAGAGGCAGCGAAACGAAATGAATTCCGCAGCTTGGAGAACCAGCCAGGTGGACCAAGCCCCAGGGCCACACTCAGCTCCCACCAGCCCGCGGCACTGGGCTCAGCGGGCCCGGCCACCGACCCGCGGCGTCCTCCGCTGACGCCACGCGTGCGTCACCACACGCCACCACCCTCTCAGCCAACGGCAGTGGCGCTCGCCTCCGACATTCACCAGCTCGCGGAGCCCGCCGAACGCGTCCCTTTCCTCCCGACATCCCTGCGCACTGGTATCTGCGCCTCCCCCCCCCCCCCCCATCCTCCTCGTCACACGCCAGACCACAAACACCGGCCGACATACATCACGCCCCTACCCACCGCGGGCCGCCCCACCTCTCTGTGCGCCGCCGGCGGGAAGGCCGCCACCTCCTTGTCGACGGCGGCCAGTAGCTCGCGCAGCTCATAGCCGACGGCCTTGACCAGGTCCAGGTAGCGGGCGGCCTGGCCGGCCTGCACACCGCGCGAGAGGCCCATCACGGCGCGCACCACGGCCGTCGTGCAGTCGTAAACCCGGTCCCGGCTGCGGTCCAGCTCGGCCGTCGGCGTCACCTCCATACGCTGGCGGAGCGGCCGGGTCAGAGGTCAGGTCAGGTCAGGCGGCCGCGCTCAGCGAGGCGTGCAGGCACGCCGGCAGGCGTAACGACGTACGCCGACAGAGGGCGAGGGAGGCGGGACAAGTCGCAAACCGCTGCCGGTAGAAGCTCGGCAAGCTGGCTTAGGTCGGGACACCGACCAATGGCCGTTAAAGCCGGACCAATGATCAGGGCGGGTCGGAATGACCGACACTCTCCGGTGGCTCTCTGAACTGAGATCTGGCTACCGCTCTCCACCGCTGGCAACACATGAGGACTCGAGGCGAGGTCAGGTTCCCACCGTCGTTAGCACAAGCCGGGCGACATCCGTCTTCCCGCTCACACGGCTGACAATCAAACAAGCATCAGATCATCATCAACAAACAACACGTCACGTCATTAGACAACGAGCCACGCACCAGACGGCACCGGGGAGTTCAGCTCGCCGCCCCGCCCCTCCTCAGGCGAGCACGAGCCCCCTCCCGCCAGCGAAGCGCGTGTCGCCCACCTTGACGACGATGGGCCGCTCTGTGGAGCTGCTGTTGGAGGAGGGCTTGGAGCCGTCGGTGGCCGGCTCTGTGGACGAGTGGCAGGGCGAGACACCGCGCGCGCCGCCTCCGCCGCCGCCGCCTCCGCCGCCCTCCACCGACTCCGTGTCGGAGCGGTCTGAAGACGTGGCCAGCGAGAGCCGCTGGCGCTGCAGGCAGGCAGGCGTGGCCGCTCAGGCGCAGGCGCAGGCGCAGGCGGCGCGGGCAGGCGCAGGCGCGGGAAAGCGCGGCGCGCGGCACACTTACCGGACAGCCAGGGGCAGACGTCGGCGCCGAGGGATCGTCTCGACGACAGGGAGCGCGACAAGCTACAGGGCGGCGCTGGCAGCAAAACTCCGTTCGCAGCGATGTGGGCTTGGGCCTGGTTTCATGAAGCGAGAGTGCGAGTCCACGCACTTTGAGCCGCGTTATTTGGGCTCATAGACCACCTCCATATCTGTCTCAGTCTGACCGACAGCCATCAATAACTCCAAAATCGACCCACCAAGTAAAAAAGGCTTGCTTCATGCCCGCTCCTGTTCCCGTTTCCTGCTCACACGACGCAACTGACAAATGCATAAGTTCGTAGTCCCACCCACGCAAACAGACTCTGGTCTCATGAGCAGGACTGCGAACCTCCGCACATTCAAATCGTACCGCAAAACTATCCAGCTTTCCAAAAGCACGTCATTCATTAATAGTACGCAACGATGCAAACGAGTCATGTACGGTATGTGAAGCGCGCAGAGATGTGGCTTTGCTTTACGAACCTCCACTCCGGCCGGGCCATTCCGCACGAACGGGCGCTGGCCGACCGGTGACCGCCCGGCGCCGCGGCCGCACGCCGCTCGGTCGCGCGGCCACCGACGCCTGTAGACCGCTGCGGTCGGCCGGCGGCGGCCGGCGCTCGCCTGGGCCGCCCACGAGCGCACAAAGCACGTGAAGCATCGGGCAGGGAGGCTCCACCGGGCCGCGGCCCCCAGTCAGCGCAGCCCCGCCGCGTCCACCGGCCCGTCGTCCGCCGCTGGACAGCGCGCCGCATGCCCCCGACCGGCGCCGACTCCCCAACGCCACCCGTCTGCTGACGGTGGCGCGGCGCACGTACCAGTTCGTTCTCCTCGCTGTTGAGCCAGAGCCGGTCCTCGGCCATCTGGCGCTGCTGCCGCTCCAGCCGCTCGCGCAGCTCGCTCTGCTCCAGCTCCAGCCGTCGCTCCAGCTCCTCAGGAGGCAGCGGCGGCTTCTGCCGACCACACAGCGGACGTCAGCGGGGGTCGGCCGACCGGCGCCCGGTTCGCAGCCGCTTGGGAGGCGCGAACTTCGATGCTTACCGAGATGATCTTCAGACCGCGAGCGCCGGTGTGCCAAGCGGTGCGTAAGCCTCACTTCTGGCTCGCCGCAAAACTACCGGGACTGCAATCCTTCTGCTCAGCACACACTACCGAGAGGGCGACAACGCGCGATGCAAACTGAACCCGAGCCATGCAGTGCCAACTGAATACACCAAAACAACGTGCTGCGAATAGTGCCGGCGCCGCGACTGCGGCAGCGAAACTAGACAGCGCTACTCCCAGCAGCGCTACGCGCTAACCCTACCTTCGCGGCCAACGCGAGACTACCGAGCGCTACCGCAGCGAAACGCGGCCTTTCAGCGTGACCAAACAGCCCGCAACTGAACAGACAGAGGACGAGGCGGCGACAGGCGGGAAGGCGGGCGGCGACCGGGGAGAGGAGTGAGGACGTGCCGTCGTGCCGAAAACCAAACCACGCCACTCGTGCGGCGTGCGGCGTGCGCCGGGCGCCGGCCGGCCGGCCGGTCAGGCGCCGCCGGCCGGCGTCGGCGGCGCGCGCGCGCGGCCGGTGCAGTGCTGAGATCGGAGCTGCACCAAACCTGGCGGCGGCCGGCCGGCCTGGGCGAGCGGGGCGCCGTCGGGAAGTTGCGCGGCAGCGAGTGGCTGCCAGCGCCGGAGGCGGACGCGGCGGGGGCGGCCGCGGCTGCGGCGGCGGCGGCGGCCGGGCAGCGCCGCGCCAGGGAGCCGCCCGGGGGGCGGGCGCGGGGCGAGGACGGGGCGGAGCCGGCCGGCTGCAGCTCCACGCTGACCGTGTTGAGTGCGGACGCCGGCGCCGTGTAGCTGCCGGCGTGGGCGCGCGTCTCGTTGTCGCGCATCAGGCGCGCCAGCACCTCGGGGCTCTGCGCCACGATGTAGGTCTGCAGCGGCGCCGACGGCGAGGCGGCCCGCTCCGGCGCCGGCTGGCGCGACGGCTTCGGCGGCGGCGGAGGCTCGTCAGAGTCGTTGGAGCCTGCCGCGAACGGACGCGGGGTTAGCCACCACTACTCCACGGCACGTAAGCTGGCCACAGCCCACGTCTCACGGTCGTCGCCGACGCACACGATGTAAATGCTGGTCGTTCCACGCCATCAGACAACGGAGCGAAGGTTTCCACACACCAACACTTCGTCTCCGAGCACAGAACAGCCGTCTCCGGGAGCGTTCCAAACCGAAATCCGTAACGTCCCAGCATCAGAGCAACTGACGTCCCCCCCCCCCCCCAAGCGGAAGGCGGGCCACTCACCCCAGGACATGGCCTGCACGCGCCGGTTCTCCCTGCGCATCGTCTCCTCTTGGGCGATCCGCTCCTCCAGCAGGATCTCACTGCAACGACGCCCGCAGCCGTCAACAGCCGACGCGGGACGGCGACCGTCGCCGACGCGACCCCGCTAAAGATCGCGACACGGCAGAACGCGACGACGGGCTAGATACGACCACCCCATCCGGGACCAAGCAGAGTTGTCCGGGCACTGCAATCGTGGCCGCACTCGTGTGCGGACAAAACCCTGGGCACGCCCCGCTTCCCCCCTCTCTCCCACACAGATCAGCAGGAAATCAGCGCACCACCAGACGTCGCGGCGATCGAAGTGGTGCCGCCACGCTGTCGGCGGAGTCACTTCACGCCAATGCCGCTGATAGCGTTGCGCCGGCACTGACAGGTTCGCGCGTGCCACCACATCAGTTAAGGCGACAGCAAGAACCCGCACAAAAAATAACAAAAACTCATCACCACTGACAGCGATAGTGGCACGCAGAGCCTCCTGGTGCCAATCTGGCGCCGCTCGCAACAAAAACCAGCCGACCAGAGCCGATGCCCCACCCCGCCGTGGCGGCCGGCGGCCACTCACTGGAGCGCCTGCTTGAGCGTGGCGAAGCTGGGCCGCTTGGCCGGCTCGTAGTGCCAGCAGCCCAGCATCAGCGAGTAGACGCGCGGCGGACACCGCGCCGGCAGAGGCAGCCGCTCGCCCGCCTCGATCTTGCCCACCACCTCGCTGTTGGGCACGCCCTGGAACGGCTTCTGCACGCCCAGCGTCAGGATCTCCCACATGCAGACGCCTGCGGAGCGGAGGAGGCGCCGCGTCACAGGTGCGCCGCGCGCACGGAGGAGCGGCGTCCCGGGCGGCCCGGCGCGTCCCCCATGGGAGCGGGCGGCCGTCGGAGCGCGGAGGGAACGGCGTCAGAACTGTACACGTGCTGGCATCGGGACAGACAGCATGGGTCAGTATGCCCTGCCAAATTCATACCGACGCCAGGATACGGGACGCAAAACGCCGTCTTCACGCAAGCCAACCGTCCATCCGCCGTTCGTGTCTTGTCTCTCCATTAACGTGAACGCCGCCAACGCGCACGCAACGCCCCGGCTGCTGCAGCCGCCGTCAGCACGCAGAGAACAACGCCGACACGACCGGGTGACACGGACCACCGGCATCGTGACAGCGACAGGCCGTCAACCATTCCCGAGTGGCCGGACGGCGACTCGTTCGAACAAGCCCGACCGCCGGCGCCGGCCGACGCCGCCCGCCCGTCCAGACATCCCGCCCGACCGGCGAGCCGCGTCGTCTCACCGAACATCCAGACGTCGCTGGCGGTGGTGAAGCGGCGGAAGTTGATGGACTCGGGCGCCATCCACTTAATGGGCAGCTTGCACTTGGACGCCTTGTAGTAGCTCTGGTCCTCCACCCAGCGGCTGAGGCCGAAGTCGGCCAGCTTGACGTTGTCGTGGCTGTACACGAGCGCGTTGCGAGCCGCGATGTCCCTGCGGCGGCGGGCAGCGCTCGTCAGGGGACGACGACACTCGGCGGCGGCTCGGTGGGTGACGCGCGCTGGTGCGCACCAACACAAGCCCCCACGACTTCGGCGCCACAGTCGTGCAGGTAGTGCGCGTGGCCGTGGCCCATTTAGGTCTTGCTCACATCATCAAACGCCACCGCCACATAGCATGTATGAATTCCATGGCGAGTTCAATCGCAAAACTGCTAAGACTGATCAAACTCCATGTTCACGTACGTCGAAAACGGACGCTACGGGACAAAGAAGACGCCTAAAGGAGCTCACACGGTTAGCAATACCCCAAAATACCAGCAGCGCAAAGAGTGATGGCAAGAGCCATCGCAGAGCGAGCCCAGCCACAAAACCACACACTGCATCCCACCAGCGCCAGCGCCAGCTCACCTGTGCACAAACTTCTTGCTCTCCAGGTAGGAGAGCGCCTGGCTGAGCTGGTACGCGTACAGGACGAGCGTGTCGAGCCGCAGCCGGTGCCGGTTGTCGCGCAGGTAGGCGCGCATCTCACCGTGGCGGGCCAGCTCCATCACGATCCACACCGGCGACGTGCTGCACGTGCCCACCAGCTTGATGATGTGCGGGTGGTCGAACTGCTGCATCGTGTCTGTCGGGGGCGGAGAGGCAGGGAGAGGGGTGAGCGGCGGGCGCCGGCTGGTGTGAACCGTCGAACAGCGGGTGGTCATGTTGTCGTCGAGCCCGCTCTGATCCCAGGCAGCGCCTAACTTTTAACGCATCGAAATCGCACGTCACACCGATTAAAGTTAGCACTAGCGATCTAATATCCGCCAACTTATTTTCGGCCAGACGGTGTTTGACAAAATGAAAGAATGCAGATAAATGCCGGTGATGTGGCTTCTCGCGAAGCTCACAGCACACACGCAGACACTCCCGTGACGTCACTCAGTCGCTTCAGACCTCCGCTTCCCTCAACGTTTCACGGGGACAATTCCCCAGTCGCGCACTGGCAGCGGCGTTTCTCCAGCCGCTCTTGCCTCGCCGCCAACGGCGGCAGCGCACCGATACTCACAGGCCTCCTCGAGGAACTTGTGCGCCATCGAGCCCTCGTTGTCGACCTTGCATGTTTTGATGGCGACAGGCGTGGTCTGGCTGCTGGAGGTCCGGTACGTGCCGCGGTATACATCACCGAACTGGCCCTCCCCTGCCGCCATAGGTCACAGGTCAAGGCCCATAGGTCTCGGGTCAACAGGGCAAAAACGCCCGCTCTTTGCGGAGTTGGTAAGCCCCGCGAGGTTTCACCCCAAATATCGGGGGTGGTGCACATGGATTGGAGATATTTTTCTTCAAAACAGACATCACGAGCAGTCACCACTGCGCATGCGCGGATCAGTCACCACTGTGCATGCCTGCAGAAAGGATGGCGAACCAAATCCCCTAGCAACAGTGAAAGCAAACAAAACACGACGAATCAATGTCGACCGCAATCAATCAAACGTAATCTGACTGCAAGCGCCAGTCAGAAATAGCCCCGCCGCTGCACGGCCGGAGAGCTGCAGCACATGGCAGTGCATCCTATCCCACGCCGGCGTGCTCCAGCCCCGTACCGCGGCGTTATCCCGCCGCCTCCCCAAGGTGACCGTCTCACAGCACTCACCCTCCACTCTTACCGACGGCCTCTCGCCGGGCCACGCTCCTGCCAACAGTCCCACCCCACCGATCACTTACTGGTAGTCTGAAGTCCGCACCGCACTTTTACGTTGCTTCTCACTCAGCCGCACCCTTACCGAAAATTCTTCACCTCACCGCGCATTCACCAACGATCTCGCCCGTCGCCGCGCTCTTACCGAAAATTCTTCACCTCACCGCGCATTCACCAACGATCTCGCCCGTCGCCGCGCTCTTACCGAAGATTCTTTACCTCGCCGCGCATTCACCAACGATCTCGCCCGTCGCCGCGCTCACACCAACGCTCCCACCCGCCGCCGCGCTCTTACCGATGATCTCCACCAGGTGGACGTGGTCGCGCGGCAGCTCGTAGTCGCGCGCGCCGACGGTGCTGTAGTCGCCCTCGTCGTCGACGATCTCGGCGTAGTCGTCGGAGAGCGCCGAGCGCGATGGCCGGCCCGAGCGACGGCCCGACGGCGAGCCGGCGCCATCGGAGCGGCCCGACCGACTCGAGCCCGCTGCCGGCCACAGGGGCTCAGGTCAGCGCCAACCCATCGGCAGCGTGGTGAGGGTTGTCGGGCACCATGTGGAGGCACGCGAGTGACCAGCGGGTCACGCGGAGGTGCAGTCAGGGTTGATGGGGACTACAGCGCGAAACCAAGGTGCCTGCTGGGAAAACAAGGTGCGGCATCGCTCCGCCCCACTCCGCCCAGTGACGTCATCCCATCCGCAACGATTGCCGGTCCAGCTCGCAGCACGCCGCCGTTCACTCAGAGCGTTCCCTTCCGTCACAGGTCGCCTGTCGAGCTGCGGGGCTGAGCGGGTTCGGACGGCCGGCCGGGCACACAGCCAGCAGAGCAGAGTCCGGGCCCGCGCGCGGCCGGGCCGCCACCGTGCTCGCCGGCCGGGCGGAACCATAACACAGCTGTGTGTCGGCCCGGTGCAGCTCTGCACGGTGCGCGGCCACCGCCGGCCGCCGTGCACGGCACCGGGGAGGCACGCGGGACGGGCGGCGACATCGCGCCGGCCGTCACAGCAGCGGCCCACGCCGCCACACGACCCGGACCGCGTTCGGGCCCGGACACTGCGCTCCAGTACAAGCATGCGAGGCACACCGGCCGGCCCTGCGGGGAGGCGGACGGGTGGGGCTGACGGCGCGACTCTACGGGCCGGGGAGCGGGGCCGGGGCCGGGGCGTGCGTGCGGGTGGGCGGGCGGACCGGGCGGTCGGCGCGCCACAGACCTGGCCGACAGCAGGCGCAGGGGTGTCTCCAGGGCAGCACTGACAGAGAACGGCGCGGTTAGTGGGCGGAACCGGAACCGGACCGGACCAAGCCAGACCAGAGCAGACTAGACCGGGCTAGACCAGACCAGACCAGACCAGACCAGACCAAACACGGACCGGACCTCCATCACCGCACGGCGCGCGGTCACGAACAATACACCTCCCCACACCGTTAAAGGCTGGTAATGACTTACATTGAGCTTTCCGCCCACACATGGGAGAGACCATCGAAGCGAGCTCGCTGCAGCCCCCGCGCCCTCCTCCGCACCCCCCCCCCCCCCCCCCCCCTCCTCTCCCCTATCCACCGGTCTACCACCGCCGCCACCGCCACCGCCTCGCGCTCCCGCCTCACCGCTCACCTTTCCGGGTCCAGAGGCTGCTGGAGGAGTTGTTCACCAGCCGGCAGTAGCCGTCCACCAGGTCGGCCATGTTGTCGGCTTCTCGGAGCGAGGCGCACGTCAGAGTGAGCGGCTCGGCGCGGCCCGCCACGCGCAGCTGGAGCGCCGCTGTGCCCGGCGACGCCTCGCACGCGCCCTGCAGCGTCTGGATGCTCTGCACCTGATCAAAGCTGCTCAGGTGCGTGGCCTGCGGTGCGGGGGGGGGGCTGGTCAGCTGAGGTGACGGTCGGGTGACGGCGCAGGTGGGGTAGCGTCAGGGACGCCAATCACGAGATGCGGCTCACAAGTATGCATCCGCTGACACGGAAGCCGGCACGGAGCGCGCCATCGAACGCGACGACAGAGCCACGCGGCCGGCGAACGGGACCGGTCGGACCGACACGGGCGGACGGCGCGGAGCCCCGCGTGGCAGAGCCCCACGCGGTGGCGCGCAGCGCGCCGGGGCGAGCCACACTCGGCGCCGGCCGGCCGGGCGCGGCGACTTCCGCCGGCCCACCCGCCCGCGTCACCCGCCGCGGCGTGTCGCTCGTCGGAGCCGGGCATCGTTATCCAGCCGACGATAAACAGAGCCGTGGCCGCCGGCGATACAAACACCGCGGCCGACGGGCACGGCGGCGGCCGCGGCTGACCGCAGCGGACCACAACTGACTGGCGTCGGTCGGGTCCGGTGTCAGACGCCGAAGGGGGGGGGGGGGGGGGCGGCCGCGACTCACGGCGACGATAGGTCAACGCGCCGATGCGCGGCGGCCGCACGAGCCAGCGCGCCACCACGTGGCAGGGAGAGGGACCGGGTGACCTCGATAGGGATAGACGCGCTGCGCTTCCCCCCCCCCCCCAAGTGTCCCCTCCAGAATCGGGCGTGAACCCAGGCGGCATGGGAATCGGCACCGTGAGTCCGAGTCAGAATCGATTCCACCTAAGCGGCGTCCAGCACAACAAGCCTGGCCCCTGTCCGCTAATCCGCTCGTTTGCACTCCCATTTCGGCCCGACGGCAGCGCGGGCAACCGAGCGCAATAATCGTCTGAGCCGGGCGGGCGCTCCGGTGCCGGAGCCGGTCCGCGGCCCGTGTGTTCGCGAACAAGTCCCTGGCGGCCGCAGCGACAAACATCCGCTGGCGGCGACCGCACCGCTGGCACTGCCAACATCGGGCATGCACTCGCAGTGCACTCACCGACTCTTCCTTGTCCGTCGTGTAGGAGATCCCAGAGTCGGGGCCTATGATCAGGTCTACCCGTATGGACCACGTCTGAAACACAACACGCCACGCCCATCAGCACGGCCGCCGCTGAGTCAGGCGCGCGCGCGCGCCGCACGCGTCACGTGACCAGGCGCCAGCGGCCGGCGGCCGACCGAGTGACGTGATCACAGAGAACGGCGGACGGGCGGCCGGCGGGCGGCGGGGGCTCTGCGACGCGACGCAGGGCCGGCAGCGAGCCTCCGACCCGCTGGTCCTGGTACGGGTCTGGCGAACACTGGCACCGGGAGGAGGGACGCGGACGGGGGTGGGGGAGCAAGCTGGGAACGGCGCACCACGGAACAGGCCATGGTCACACCACCCACGTTCGTTGAGCGCTGCTGGTCACTGGTCACCACGCCGCAGAAAGCGCACCCAGCATCGGCGACAACAGACAACACATGACAGCTGCAAACGCGACGTGACGACATTCCCGACACCAACAGCCCGCCAACACTGACAACATGCCACCGACACTGGCAACAAGTCCCCAGCCCCGCCAACACACTGCTCGCAACACGGCACACCGCGCCCGCCACCGTACTCGTTCTCCCGGCGGCCGCGCGGCCGGCGGTCGGGACCGGTGGCCACCATCTGGGCGGCGGCGGCGTCCCACGCACGCCGCGCCCGACGGAACACGGCGGCCGCGCGAGCGCCAGGCGCCGCTGCCGCCAGGTGAGCACCAGCTGGCACGGCCAGCGGCCTGCAGAGCGGCGCACGACCTCCCAGAGGGCGCTGACCGGCTGCCAGAAGGTCACCGGGCTGTCCTTAAAAGGATCGCGGCCCGCTCCGGCAGCGGCACGGGCAGCGCGTCGTTTGGCGGCCAACAACCGGCTGGTGTGACGAGCGAGACGGGGCGGTTCTGAATCACATGTCAGCCCCGATATTGAACCTCGAGTCTCCCCATGCACCATCCTACAGTGCGAAAAAAGCCACAGCGGACGAGTTCAGAGCGCCTCGTGGGCCGCACGGGTGCCCGCAAATTCCCAGCCAGCTGGGGCCGGCTGGCTGCTCGCGCCTCCCGTCATGTCGGCCGCGCCTAGCGCCCGCTCCACCCTGACAGCCCCTCAGGCTTCCCGCACGTGCACCGCCGCCCCTCCCCAGCACGCAAAGGTCGCAGCTGGCCGCAGCAGCACCCGTCCGCCGGCGGCGCCGACCGCCCCGACCGTGTCTGCCGCTCCACCCCGCCGCCGCCGCCCACACCGCCGGCTCCGCGGGCTGAGTAGAGGGCGGACGCCACCGCGCGGCGCCCGGCCGCCCCTGCGCCGCTGAGGCGCGTTCCCATAGACCCGGCGGCACCCTCCGCGGCAGATAACAGCCGCGTCTGATCTCGCCCATCCACGGCCGGCAACAGTAGCGTCCAGTTTACCTTAAGTACCTGCCACACCTCGTCTGACGCAACAGCCACAACCACCGCAGAGACCTAGCCGCTGTCGGACGCCGCCCGCGCACGGGGCGCTCGCCGGGAGGGCCGGCTCATGCCCCGAGGAATGCGGCCGGCCGCCCCGACCGGCCCCGCACGGACGGACGCCGGCGCCACCACCCTCGCAACCGACAGCCCGTGCCGCTTATCGCACGAGCATGCCGGCACGGCCGCGCGCCATCCGCCACCGCCGGCCCCCTCAAAGGCGCCGGCGGCGTCGCGCCGAGCCGCGGCCGGGAGGCCTCCGCCGCCGGGCTACAGCCGCCGGTGTTTGTTGAGTGGCCGGCGCAGTGCAGCGGCGCAGTAAGTCAACGCCCCGGACGCGACGCCGACTGAACGGCGACAGGCGACCGGACGGCGCGCGCCGTCCGGTCCGGTCCGGTCCAGGCCGGTCCGGATGAGTCTTCGCGACCGGGCGACCTACCCCACGGCTCGGCGGGAACGCGCGGCGTCAGGCGGTGGGCTGCGCGGCCGCGGAGGGTGCGCCACGCGCCCGCCCACCGCTGCCCGAATATGTCCGCCCGCCGCCGCTCCGGCCGGAAACGGGCGGGCGGCGGGTGCGGCGGCCGGCGGCGATCAGCACAGCCGCCGAGTACCAGCCGCCAGAGGCTGGGCGGGGCGAGGCGGACGAGAGAACCGCGCTGCACCAGCTCCCCTGTCGCGCTTCGCAGACACTTCCGTCGCGCAGGAGCGATGAATCACCGACACCGGCAGCGCCGCGGGCGGGTCGCACGGACCGCCCGCCCCCGGTCTCCGTGGGACACCGTCACCGCAGCAGGAGGTCGCTGATCCGGGCCGTGCCGCCCGGCCCCACACAGATCGCCTTACACCGGCGGAAGACGGCGGCGGCGGCGGCGGCGGCGGCGGCGCCGGCCCCGGCCGACAGCGGTGGTACCTGTCAGTCGACGGCGAGTCCAGCCCGGGTGCGCACTGCCCCGCTCCCGCGCCGTAACCGGCGACCGGCGTCTCGGCCTGCGGCGAGCACCGAACCAGCGCTGACGCCTCCCGCGGCACAGACGGCGGCCGCACGGGCGCGCCGGCCGGCGACTGACGCGGGCGGCAAGTGGGCCGCCGCCGGCGCCGCCAGCGCCACCTGACGGCGCCAGCTGACGGCCGGCCGGGCGGCGGCGGCGGCGGCGACCGCGGGCGGGTGACGCGGCCCGGCCGGTCGCCGCCGCACTGGGCGCCGACGTACGCAGGAGACATGGACCAGCCGTCCGGTGGCGGCCGGCAGCGCAACACAGCCACAACAGCGTGTGCTTGAGTGCAGGCGGCGCCCGTGAACCTTCAACCTGCGGTTATCCACAGCATGCCGAAAGCCGCGCCATGACAGCCCGCGGCCAACAACCCTATTCTGAAGGAAACAAATTAAAAACCGCGCCCATCGACCACCATTTGGTTGCGGCATCACGTCACAGGATCAGACGGAGCTCGATCTGGGCTGTGTGGCCGTGGCGAACGATATGTGACACCACTGATACGCCATCGTCACCCGATGCACGAGCTCACACACGCCTTGACAAACACCGGCCGGCAAATGGTCAGCACACAGCCCGGGCAGCCCCCAGCCATCGGTCCAGGAAATGTACAACACGCCTGAAGATATGGCGGCGCGGGCGACACTGTCCGACAGCAGCGGTGTTGGACCTGGACCACTACCGATGGCCAGGCGAAGTGTCGGGACCGGACCACTACCGATGACCAGGCGAAGTGTCGGGACCGGACCACCACCGATGACCAGGCGAAGTGTCGGTACTGAACCACTACCGATGACCAGGCGAAGTGTCGGTACTGAACCACTACCATGACCAGGCGAAGTGTCGGTACTGAACCACTACCAATGACCAGGCGAAGTGTCGGTACTGAACCACTACCAATGACCAGGCGAAGTGTCGGGACCGGACCACTACCGATGACCAGGCGAAGTGTAGGTACTGAACCACTACCGATGACCAGGCGAAGTGTCGGTACTGAACCACTACCGATGACCAGGCGAAGTGTCGGTACTGAACCACTACCAATGACCAGGCGAAGTGTCGGGACCGGACCACTACCGATGACCAGGCGAAGTGTCGGGACCTGGACCACTACCGATGACCAGGCGAAGTGTCGGTACTGGACCACTACCGATGACCAGGCGAAGTGTCGGTACTGAACCACTACCGATGACCAGGCGAAGTGTCGGTACTGAACCACTACCGATGACCAGCCGGCAGTGTCGGGACCGGACCACTACCAATGACCAGCCGGCAGCGTCGGTACTGGACCAATGATGACCAGGCGGCAGTGTCGATACTGGACCACTGATGACCAGGCGATAGTGTCGGTACTGGACCACTGATGACCAGCCGGCAGTGTCGGCACTGGACCACTGATGACCAGCCGGCAGTATCGGCACTGGACCACTGACGACAAGCCGGCAGTGTCGGTACTGGACCACTGATGACCAGCCGGCAGTGTCGGCACTGGACCACTGATGACCAGCCGGCAGTGTCGGCACTGGACCACTGATGACCAGCCGGCAGTGTCGGCACTGGACCAATGATGACAAGCCGGCGGTGTCGGTACTGGACCACTGACGAGCAGGCCGCAGTGTCGGAATCGGCAGCCCGACATCCCAGTTGGCGCAGAGTTGGCGCCGAGCCCGCCGAAACTGGCCGGTGGACAAGTCTCTGCTAAAGCCGTTTTAAAGTATGACGCCTTGCCGGTTACTGAACTGCGACCTGATAAACACTGTGAAATCATTCATGAGCGGAAGCAAACAAAAAAAAAACTGCCATAACAGGCGACGTATACCTCAGAGCACGATTTCGTACAAGTTTGGAACACAAGTCTGGATCATCGCCAACACTCCTGCTCCGTTGCAACTCATCCAAGGTCGCCCCCCCCCCCCCCCCCCCCCCAGCAGCAGCACCAGCCATGCCATCTGTCAGCGCCCGACACTGGGGCGATGAGCCAGCCAGGAGACCGAGTCATACGGCAAGGGAAACTCTCCGCAGATGGGTGGAGCCATTAGTGAGTCATCGGGTTAGCTCACTGGCCAGAGTCGGCCGCGTGCGGTCAGTCGACCCCGCGTCGTCATCACGCCGCCTGCGCGCCACACTCGTCACTGCAAGCACTCGCACGAGCCAGCACACGCTCGTCCTCTAACTAATGGCAGCGGAATCAACAAGCCGCACCCCTGCTGTCGGACACTGTTTGCCAGCACCCGGCAGATTCGTCACGACAGTCGGCGGCGAGTGGATCTCAGTCGAGAGCCAGGAGGGCCAGCGGGACCGCCTCTGCCGCCCTGCTGACCGCCGGCGCTGCTGGCGCCATCTGCGCCGCGCGCGGCCGGCTCGGAGTGGCGCCGGAGCCGGCCAGAGCCGTCTGCGCTCTCCTGGCCCGTCAGGGGGCGCCGCCCCGCCCGCTCGGCCGACCGCACCGTCAGATCGCGTGCGTCCCGCGGCCTGAGACGGCTCGTCGCTCCACCAGCCGGCGGCAGCGACCCCGACCTGCCGCCGGCTGGCGACCACGGGTGTCGCGTCTGTCGCCGTGCCTTCCGAGCCGACGCTGACAGGGCTGACGCGGCGGGCACGGCTGGGCGCAGTGCCGTACATACCCCGGATAAATCGGAATGCCAAACCGGAGAGGTGTCCCACCGGCCTCCGGTGGGTGTTGACCCGGCGCGACGCTGGCATCGCAGCACGCGCTGTCGCCGACCAGAAGTGTCCCCTAGCACACCGCCTGGAAGGCGCCAGTGGCGAGTGCACGCAGAGGTGCGGCCATGGGCGGAGCCGGTCAGCGCCTCTGAGGAGCGACCGAGGTCGTGGCCGACGTGAGTCAGGCCTGCCCTCTGCCGACAGGGGTGACCACCGCAACTGTGAGGGCTCGGCGGCGCTCGCCGACAGCAGCCGAGCCGGAGCTGTCTGCGAGATAGCCCGCTGCAAAGTTGGAGCCGGGTCCGGCCAGACAATGACGACTTCGCCCCCGGCGTCCAGACGACGCCCTATCCTCTCGGGATCCGGCGGTAGCCGCTCAGATCCGGCGGCGGGCGCGCCGGCCGGGATCGCAGCCGTCCAATCCAATCACGGGTGTCCGGTCGCCGGCGGAGGCTGGCGCGCGAGAGGCTGGCGGGCCGCGCCCCACTCGGCTGACTGTGTCACTCATCGTCATCACGGCGCCGTCTCGCTTGGGAGCTGGCCCATCCACGAAAGCCCGAGGCCCGGCGCCGGCGGTTGGACTTCTCGACCGCAGCCACAGCCCTGCCGTACAAGGAAATCCTGGCGAGTTGAGGACGGGGTCGCCAGGTAGTTGTCTGTCGTCACGCCTGGAATGCCTGGCTCCCAGAAGCCTCCAGTTGCCTGGCACAGGATTGGTAGATACGTTGCACGGTTTCATAGCTGGGCTGCGACCGGCTGTCATGGGACGAGGCCGACCCGTCCGCTACCCAGCCGTGGCCGACGGACAAATCCACGGCAGACCGCCCGTCAGACGACCGCCACAGAGCGGGGAGCCGCCGCCATGCGCGCCGCGCCCCGGGTCGCTTTGTCCGCCGCCGAGATCGTATCGCCCACCGTGACGAGGCGGTAAGTGCGACACCGCGCAAGACTTACGTCCGCGCCAAGGCCCAAGGCCGACGGCGGCGCGCGCTTATTGGCAGGAAAACCGACGCGCACCCGGGCGCGAGGCGACAGCCAGCGCGTACTGTCGTCGGCGGCGGCCGTCCGCGAGGGCTCGATGCTGGACGGTGTCGGGGTCACGGGGTCACGCGGCCGGCGCCGCTCCCGCCCATCCCCCACAGGGACGGCAGCGACGGCCGGCCTCCGCCGATGCGGCTGTGGGGAGACGACGGCGAGCAGCGCCGCCGGGCGGGCGAGGCGCGCCGTCGGGCACCGATGGATTTAGATAGGCGATAGCCGTGAGCACAACGCTCGGCCTGACCGCACTGAAGCTGGACACGGCTTTGGGCACAGAGACACATGCCAGGGCGACTGTGGGAGCGGGCGACTGAGGCACACCGCGTGTCCACGTCACGTCTGGCCACACAAGACGGCGACATAACACGCAGGCAACACACGCCGACTCGCACCAGTCACACACAGGCGTACACAGACACTGGACACACCCGGACGGGGACGCGCCCGCACCGACCGAAGCCCGCGCACCGCTCACTTCACCCGGCACCGTCGACGAAGACGCGCCCACCGGCACGGCGGGTAAGCAGCCCCAGTCCGGCCTCTGCCGGCCGTGGACGGCCAGCCACTGGCCCACACCGCAGCCGGCGGCCAGCGGGACGGAGCGGCGGCGGAAAATCGGCCCGACGGCTGGATATTGTGGTGCCGGACGCGGCGCAGCCGAGCGACAAACACGCCGCGGTCGTGACGTCAGCGGCGACGGCGCCGGCGACAAGGTGCACGCGACGCGCATGGGACGCGCCGGCTGGTGTGCGCACAGAGCGACGCATGGCGCGGCGGGCGCCGACCGGCGGCAGCCCAGCGCTGATCAATCGGGACAGAGCCGGCGCACGCCACGGCACCAGCCAGCGGACGGCGGCCATCGGCCGGCACGGACTGCTCACCTCAGCACCAGTCACCACGGCACCGGCCGGCACGGACCGGACACCTCAGCACCAGTCACCACGGCACCGGCCGGCATGGTCTGGACACCTCAGCACCAGTCGCCACGGCACCAGCTAGCGGATAGCGGCCATCGGCCGCCACGGACTGCACACCTCAGCACCAGTCACGGCACCGGCCGGCACGGCCTGGACACCTCAGCACCAGTCACCACAGCACCGGCCGGCATGGACTGGACACCTTAGCGCCAAGCACGACACTGGCCGGCACGGGCCGCACACTGGACAGCCGACACTGGACAGGAGACGCGACATCGCGGTTACAGACCGGACCGGCCGATCGCCTCCGGCCACCGCCGTCCCGAGACACGCCCCCACGCCAGCACGGCCGTCAAGGCCCACTTCAACCGCGCCGGATGCCCACTTAGCCGGCATCCTGGGGCTTTCACCACAGCATAACGTCACACTTCCCGGCGACAGACCGCCACGCGCGTGCACACCAATCAGGACGTCCGGCCTCCACAGCGGGCGCCACTGCCAGCGGCGTCCGACGCACGCACGCACGCACGCACGCACACATACATACACATCCGCATATGAATCTCACACAACCATCTCAATGAAACCGACCCTGCCGCCAACAGTCCACGCTCATAGCCAGTCCACGCTCAACAGCAGCGGTGCGGACAGCGGCCGGGCAGCGGTCGCACAGCACCTCGGCACTGGAGTCCCACACAGCCAAGCGCTGCAGTCCCCCCCGCCAGAGCCCCTGCCCTTCCCGGCATCGACGCCAGCTGCACCGGCAGCACCGCAGCCGTCGGCCGACTCACCCCCAGCGCGCAGGTGAACCGCTCCTGGTCGAACCGCACCACCGTCTTCAGCACTTCCAGGTACTTGAACATGCACTCGGGTTCGCTCATGTGGCTGCACTTTTTGAACTGGTGCTGCACCAGCTTGCGAAGCGTCTTTGGCTTAGTGTTTGCGATCACGGACCTCGGCAGGAACTTCTCCCAGCCCACTGTCTGTTCGAGGTAGTCCATGTTGGAGCGCTTGTCGAGCGCGTTGGGCGGCAGGTCCTTGAAGAAGCGGCGGATGTCGAGGCAGCCCAGCTGGACGGCCATGTCCTGCTCCACCGGGCAGCGCTCCTGACTCAGGTAGTCGTCCCGCACCTGGAACACGCAGTGGGCGTCCGTCACCGGCGCCCCTGACCGCCGCGTCGGCTGGCACACAGCGATGACGTCACTGGCTCACACGGGCCGCAGCGATGACGTCGCTGGCTCACACAGACTGCGGAGGCCTCGCGTCCGGCGGCGGGGGCCGATTCCGTCACACACCGCACGACACGACTGTACGCTACGGTACGACCACACGGCTCCCGTAACAGACACGGCCCCGAACGTGGACAGGCGTTCTTAGACTGGACTGGACAGGACTGGCTTACAGACTGCTGGGGTCGGCCTTACAGACTACAGCTGCCGCGTGCCTGTGCTAGACGCCCAGTCACGCAGGCTACAATAAAAAAAATCACTGACACCTGTACCGACAATGGCGCCGTTGACAACTTCTACTCAGGCCGGGGTACAGCGATGCACTTTCTGACCAAACATCCCTTCCGGACCGCGCGTTTGAACATTACAAAGACTGTGTCCCTCACTCGGGCCGTTTACCGTCCCGCGACGTACCCGTGAAGAGCAACAGTGACAACATCCCCGCTCAAGGCAGCTGTGCAAATCCTGAAGACTAGCGCTGAGCTGGCCGCGCGAGCCGGCGGCGAAGCGACTGCACACTAACATGACAGGAACCACACCGGCCTAATCGCGCCCGTTTTGGGAAGCTTATCCCCGAGACGCAATGGGCACCCGGCCGCAGGCGATTACCCAGACGCCGCTCAATAATCCCGCACGGGTTCGACGGCCAACACCAGCCCAGCCAGCAGACGCTGTGAGAAGCCTGAGCGCTGAGCAGCGCGGAGGCCACGGTCGTCGTGGAGCTCGTGCGATCTCACGGGCTGTGTCCGAACGGAGGCGGCCCTGCTGACCCGGCTGACGCTGTGGTTCAGGTCACGGCCCCGACGCGACATGACCCCCTCCCATTCTCCCGGAGGTCACCATAGCGAGCAGGAACGCCGCGCCGACGAGCCGAGGGGGACCGCAGCCCGAACGGACGCAGGGCGGGGCAGAGCTGGACCCCGGTGCTTCACGCTAGAACGCACCAAGACACCGCAGCCCGCTCCTAACGAGACAGCTCCAAGACGCGCCGCAGACAGCGCCGAAGCGCACAGCCTCGCCAGCGCGGCGCCCTCCCCAGCGAAGCAGCCACAAGTGCCAGGGGTGAGACCCCGACGCGCCACAGCCGGCCGCGGCGCTCGCCTGCCATCGGCGGCCACTCTGACGTCCGGCGCCGCTGCAGCAGGCAGCCAAACGGCCGGCGGCGGCCATGGCTCATCCGGGCCGCTCCGGTGGCACTTAGGCGGGTCGAGCGGCCCATCCACCGCCGGCTAAAGGTCAGCTCCAGCCACGCGCGCGCGCGGGCGCGCGGAACGGCCCGGCCGGCCGGCGGCCATCAATTTCGGGGCCGTCGGGCTGCTCGCAAGGGACGCCACCAAGAACGGCGCCGCTGGGACCGGCGGCGGCTGCGGCCGGCTCGCCGCGCGCTCGATACGGCCAAGGGCGGCGCGCGAGACTGGAGGCTTTATTTCTCCGCGCCTGTGAGCGGCGCGGCCGCGGTATCTCCCCCGCGATCAGGACATGGCTCACGCGCGGCGCCGCCAACGTGCCCGCGAGCGCGATAAGACATGGGGGAAGCGGGGGGGGGGGGGGGGGGAGGCTATCCCAGTTCTGTCGCTAACTACAGGAGCAAAATGAAAACTGAATTCGCAAATGGTGTGGTCCTGCAGGGGCTGGCAGCAGTGCCGGCCTGCTGTTATTGCCGCTAGGCGTCGGACCATGAAGACTCAGAAACGTCCGGCGCTGTGATCAAAGGCTCGTGATTGTGATCGATGTGAAAGCTCGTCTTACTCACAGCGGTGATCGATGAGGCTTCACATACCAATCACGTGGCGATCAGTGATTACCTTGGCACCCGACGAAACCTCAGTCCTCTAAGGTAACGCCAGTTTCCGCGTAAGAAGATTTATTCCCGTGCCGATAAAAGAGCCGATAAAACCTCACTTCCAGGGCGGCGCTCAACCCCGATCGGACGCTGCAGCCGATACCTGCTGGTAGTAGAAGTGGAAGGTGACCCTGTCCTTTTCGTAGAGCACGTGTAGGTCAGACGGCAGGTAGCGCACACGCAGCTCGAACCGCCAAAGGTCTGCGTTGCCCTCCTGCTTCTCCAGCACCTGCAGTAAAAGGCGCGTCGTTTGTTGGCGTGTGCTCAGGTACTCTGGTCTCCAGCGTCAGACTACCGTCACGTCACGATCCTGACCGACAGCACGGCACGGCACCACGTCACGACCCTAACCGACAGCACGGCACGGCACGTCACCGTCGGCACGTGCCACGTGAAGCTCCCAGTCCCAGTATGCGCTTACTAGGACGCCATCGAATGTTAAAAGACCGCCGCCTTGATGCAGAGCCAAACATTTGAACAAGCACCGCGTTTATATGGCTCAGCTTGAGCGTTCGCCATGGGGACGACCTTGTTCTCATCGCTAACGATGTTTGAGAAAAAACTGATACGAAACAAACCCGTCTTAAGAGGGAAAAACCCTGAAGGCCATCACATCATCAAGCAATCAGGTCGACACACAGTCAATCACCAAACGTCTCAAAATGCGGCCAAACCCGAGCACACAGCAGGTAGCACCGAGCCACGAATGCGCCGCTGACGTATTATCGCTGCGGGATGTAACTACGACGCCGACACCCAGCCGTTGGAAGCCGGTAAGCTCACAAGAAGGCCGTTTGTAGGCAGCGCGCCACCGGCCCCAGCCCGACCTCTGACGATGTACTGCATCTTGTTCGACACGGCACGGACCCAGCGACATGCTAGGCAGCACGAGCCATAAACAACTGCGCGGTGGCACAGACACCGAGAAAACATACATAGCGCGACAGGTGCGCGCGAGTCCAACATCGGGAGAGTACCTCGAACATGGGCGTATTCTGGTGAAGCCAGCAGACCTGGCGCGTCTCCGAGTTGACCATGCGCAGGGCGAACAGACCCTCGTAGACGCGGGGCTCCGGCGCCATCCGCGTCACGAGCAGGTCGATCACGTACTGTAACAGATCAACCATAGGTCAGGTCACGTCCTGCGCGACACAAGCAGGTCAATCACCTATTGCAACAGGTGAACCGTAGGTCAGGTCACGTCCCAAACAGCTCAACTAGGTCCGGTCACACACCATAACAGCTCAACCAGAGGTCAGGCCACAGCCTGAACAGGTCAACCAGAGGCCAGGTCACGTAATGGCAGGCCAACTAGAGATCAGGCCACACGCTGTAACAAGCCAACCAGAGGTCAGGTTACGCGTTGTGATAGGTCAACCCGAGGTCAGATGACGTACTGTTACAGGTCAATCAGGATGAGGTCACGTGCTATAACAGGCCAACAAGGATCAGACCCGGTACTTGGAACGGGTTAGGCCCGGACGTGGTGGTAACGCGGCGCGCTCTGGCCGGACGTACCATTACAACAGCGGAGCCCTAGTCGGCGGATGAGGCCGGCCAGCGCCGTGTCGAGCCGGATCAGAAATGACAACGACACGCAACCTAACGACATGAACGAAACGCAACGTCCATCAGAACGGGCGGAGGACACCGCCGGCAAGCTGCCTCCTTTAAACCGCTGCGTTTAACAGCGCAAGGCAACACCCGGCAGCACACGGGCGCGCCAGACGAAAGGCAGCAATGTTTGCTTGCAGCCTGCAACATACGTCTGGGACAATGGCTCGTGCTGGCATGTTGACAATGGCTGCTGTCGGCTTGGCCAGCGCCCGGCCCAACGCGAGCCATCAGGGCGCCAGACGCCCTGGCGTGGCTCCACTCCGCGTCAGTCCGCGGCGGTACGCTGATTTGCAGGAGGTCAGTTCCATTGCGGGATGGATGGGCCGGCTGGGGCGGAGACGGTCCGGACCGGCACGACCACGGGCGCCGGCCACTTGGCGCGCGCCGCGCGGCGGCGAGCCGGCCAGCCGCCAGCGCCTCACCCCGCCCGACCGGACTGCTTCCGCGGCCCTAAACCTGCCACAGTTCAACCTAGTCGCGCACATACGCTTGGGCCATGGACGACCTCCGCGCATTTGGCTGCCGTCCGGGCGGCAAAGCGGCCCAAGCCTGCCGCTCCACTGCAATCGGCCGGACGCGGCCAATCGCCGTCCAATTCGTGCCCAGATGGAGCGCCGGCGGGCCGCAGCCGGCGCCCGCCCGTGCCACGCCGGCCGCTCGGCGCCGCCTGCAGGCAATGACCCCGCCGGCGGGGTCCGACCACCGCGACACTTCTGCACGATTTGCACGACGGTCGGCAGTCGGGACGGCGACCGGGCCGGGGCGCCCGACCTCTCGCGGGGAGGGGGCGTGCTGCGGCGGACGCACGGCTGACCCCTTTCTGCGTGGCGGCGCAGGCGGCGGCGCGACAGCCCGACGCAGTTCTACGCCCCGTTTTGATAGCAGGACGAGTCACGCACGGAGCCCGTTCTGGGGCCGTGCTGACGGCACCGACTACGTGCAGTCCCACTGAGCATCTGCGTGGACGGAGAGGGACGGGCGCAGCAGAGTCCGTGGCCGAACGGCGGACGACACCGACTGCTGACGGCCGAGACCTTTGCACGGACGGACAGCTGCGGACAGACGCACCAGCGGCCCGCGCTGGACACGCTCACTGCCCGCAGATCGTGTGGGCGTACAGTCCGGTCTGGCCAGGCTGGCCCCACTCGCGCCCTCACCCCTTCCAGCCACCTCCAACATACCCTCAACCTATTGGCTTAAAACCGGCGAAAATAATTGCGTACTTTCTGCTGTCGCATTTGTGACAGTTCTGCTTCCAAAGAGATGGATGTCTGCTTCAATCAAACCAGCTGTTCAATCCGCGTAGCTCTGGATGGATGATTTCGCAAACAAAGCCAATACAAGATAATCAGCGCGAGACAAACATAAAAACTGACGATGGGCATTATCAGAGCGAGACGATGGCATGACTAGTCGATTTTTGGGCGGTGCAAAGCGCCACCACCTCAGAACGCAAATCCAACCGACAAAAACGGCCGCCGGCTTGGCCAGCGCTCTGCACACCACCAGCTACCCAGCGGCTCCCAGATATGACAGCCACTACAAACACCGACAGACGACGTAATCGCAGCGAGGGAGCAAGCCCAGCGGCTTTGCATAATTCAACCCGATCGGGACACCCGCATCCGTCTCCGCGGCCGACAATAAAGCCTGCACGGCGGACGGCGCGCCACGCTCGGCGGACAGCAGCAAAACAGGCGGACAGCCGCGATAGCTCAGCCCGACGGTCGCCAGGCCCGGCGCGGCCAGTCCGCGGCGGCCGCGCCGACCGGGGCGGGGCCGGCGGCCGTCCGATCGCGGCGCCCGACCGCTTCTGACCAGCCGTAAGCGTGTTTGCGCGCGGCGGCGGAGGCGGCGGCGGCGGCGGTCTGTTTATCCGGCCGCCGATCGGACTCAGCTCGAGCCGGCACGGGCTGCACGCGCCGCCGCCGGCCCGGCTCCGGCCGTCACGAACGCCCGGCCGGGCCTGGACGCGGCAGGCGCCATGTTCGGAGGCGGCAGGGCGATATGGCGGGAAAGGAGCGGGGCGCGACGTGACGAGCGGCAATCGACGCTGAGCTGCGGCCATTTTCGGGGATGAACGGGGCCAATCGCACCGTTCCCGACCCCGCAGACGAGTCCTGGCACGGCTCAACGGCTCCGCTGCTCTGGAGAACAGCAGAGGAAGTCGAGATCCCCAACCCGTACACCTCACTGCCGCCCCCCTCCCTCCCTCCCTCCCTCTCTCTCTCTCTCTCTCCCTCTCCTCTCTCTCTCTCTCTCTCGCTCTCCCTCTCTCTCTCCTCTCTCTCCTCTCCTCCTCTCTCTCTCCCTCTCTCATCTCCTCTTCCTCTTCCCCTTCCTCTCCCTCCCCTCTCCCTCTCCCTCCCCTATCCCTCTCCCTCTCCCTCTCCCTCTCCCTCTCCCCTCTCCCTCTCCTCTCCTCTCTCTCTCTCTCTCTCTCTCTCTCTCTCTCTCTCTCTCTCTCTCTCTCTCTCTCTCTCTCTCTCTCTCTCTCTCTCTCTCTCTCTCTCTCTCTCTCTCTCTCTGCCCTTCCCCTCTCACCACGTCCGTCAGATCAGCGCCACTGCCCCGAGCCATCAGACCTCATCCAGACGGACGGACGGTGCTCTCCGCGCCCGCGACCTCGACTGACCTTGACATCGGTGCTCTCGGCGTACTTGACCATGTGGAAGCCGTTGGGCAGGTGGACCTTGAGCGTGGGCCGGTCCTTGTCGGGCGAGGCGGAGCCGGCGGCGGCGGCGGCGGCCTGCCGCTCGGCGCCGGCCGCTTCGGCCGCGCCCTCCCGCTCACTCATCGTAGCGCCGTCATCCAACCTGCGGGCAGAAGCGACGGTCAGACCCTGGTGTCGCGCGCCACCTGCGCGCCAGACGTCAACAGCGCACCAGCTGAGCGGCCGGCCGGACACGGCGCCGGTGTGGCGCCGTCGGGATGGCAGAAAGATGGGGTGCTAGGTCAGGCCCAGCACGGCGCGGCAGCGTTTCAAGTGACTTGTGCGACGCCGCCAGGCCTGCGCCGGGACAGAGGTCGGTCGGGACGCACGACAAACTCCGGCGGACCACAGCGTGTTATCCAAAGTGGACTGCGTCAAGTGCTGTGCTTGCAGTAGTGGTCGCGTCAGACATTCCAGGGACAAGGCAGGCGCTGTGCTTTGGACTACGTTCGATCGCTTTAGAGCTTGGTGTTACTGTACGCTACAGACGACGTGCGCTCCCAGACGAAGTTTTTTGTTCTCTTCCTCTGTTTATTTATCCGACAGTCAGGCTCCTCCGTCGACACAGCAGCTGGCCGGCGAGCCGACCACCGCCGCCGCCCGCCGGGCGATAACCCAGGACGCGTCCGAAGCCCGGCCGCCCTCCATCGCTGACTATCCATCCCACATACACGGTCGGCCTCCCAGCGTCCTGCAGAGGGCGGCCGCGGCTGCCCGGCCACCGCCGCCGCCCGCCGGGACCGCTGCCAGGGCCAGGGCCGGCTGGCCAGCCACACCCGGCGCGACAGTACGGCCACCGTCGCCGGCGCGGGCCGCACGGTCAGGCGGCACCGCTGGCTGGGGTCGCGGCGTCTCCGCCTGTCAGCATCTGGAGCCAGGGAGTCCTCGCCCGTCATCGGCTCGTGACACCGATGCTCTGTCCGCCTCCGGCTCGAGCCAAGACATCTCCACCCACCACTGACTCAGAGCCTCAGCCTGGCACGGGCTTAACTCGAGCGACGTCCTCGCGTCCCCAAACAAATCCATGAACCCTGGTCAGCGGACGGCACGTCGCCCCGCGCACAGGCACCGGTCAGCCAGCCCGGTCGACCAGGTTCCCGCAGCTCTGCCACGTCCGCCCGAACCCAGCCGAGCCACGCCCCGCCGGCCGCCAGCCACGCCTCCACGTCAGGGCCCGTTCGGCAGCGGCGCTGTGGCCGCCCGCGGGGCGCGGGGCCGGCCGCCGGCCTCTGCCAACCGCCGCCGGCGTATTTCGGTCGGCTGGACGGACGACGGCCGGCCGCTGCCAGCGGCCACGGCAGGCGTCGACGGATGGGCGCCGGGTGACGCCCGACACGGCGCTGGGACTGATGGGGAGGGTGGCCATGTCAGGGACAGGGGAGGGACAGGGACGGATGGGTGCCGGGTGACGCCCGACACGGCGCTGGGACTGATGGGGAGGAAGGCCGTGTGAGGGACAGGGGAGGGACAGGGACGGATGGGCGCCGGGTGACGCCCGACACTGCGCTGGGACTGATGGGCAGGGAGGCCATGTCAGGGGCAGGGGAGGGACAGGGACTAATGGGCGCCGGGTGACGCCCGACACGGCGCTGGGACTGATGGGGAAGGGAGGCCGTGTCAGGGACAGGGGAGGGACAGGGGCGGATGGGCGCCGGGTGACGCCCAACACAGCACTGGGACTGATGGAGAGGGAGGCCATGTCAGGGACAGGGGAGGGACAGGGACGGATGGGCAGCGCCGGGTGACGCCCGACACAGCACTGGGACTGATGGAGAGGGAGGCCATGTCAGGGACAGGGGAGGGACAGGGGCGGATGGGCGCCGGGTGACGCCCAACACAGCACTGGGACTGATGGAGAGGGAGGCCATGTCAGGGACAGGGGAGGGACAGGGGCGGATGGGCGCCGGGTGACGCCCGACACAGCACTGGGACTGATGGAGAGGGAGGCCGTGTCAGGGACAGGGGAGGGACAGGGACTAATGTGCGCCGGGTGACGCCCGACACGGCGCTGGGATTGGTGGAGAGGGAGGCCGTGTCAGGGACAGGGGAGGGCAAGGCGAGGGGACGCGGGCAGCGAATACAACGTCAAGGAAAGGGAGAACCGCTGGTGTCTGGAAACGGTCAGCGTCTGGCACAGCGCGCAGAGGAGTTCAGAGATACGACGATATCAGAACGAGAGGCGGTGCTCGGGACATGGACATGAAGGGGAATGGGGACGGGCGCATGACGACTTGCTGCTTTTTTCCGGCGCGGCGAGCAGAACAGACAGCGACTACATGGAACCATGCTGATCACAGCTTCTGGGCGGAGGCGATGCCAATGATAACGAACGTGTCGCGGCATAGGGATGTGAGACATAGCTTTCATCAGATCGGCCCAAAGGTGTAACAACACAAGGGGCCCAGAGCAGAGCCCACAAGCGCCCAATGCCAGCCCACTTGACGGACGTCCGCGGGTTGTTTTTGGCGGCGCGTACTCGGGGCACGTCCCTGCATGCCACTCAGGCGCGCCGCTCTCGGCCGATATTCACCTTCAGCACAAGGTCTCGGACATAACCGACCGCGCCCGATCGTCCCAGCGATTACGGCCAGATAAATGAGTAAAAACGGCGGAGGACACCCGACAAAAAATCACCAGCCCACGCTCGCCATGTAAACACAGGCCCGGGTCGTCCAAACGTCGGCATAACAGCAATCATCGCTGCGGGACCGTCGGCGGGACGCCATCAGTAATGGCTCGACGCGACGCCATCAGCTGACCTTGCCGCGCCGCCAGCTGACGGCCGCGTGACGTCACTGAGCCAGTCCTGCCGCGGCCGGAGGAGGCCGGCACCCTTCCCGACCCCGCGCGCCCCGCGCTGCGTGGCCGCCGGGCGCCGCCGCCGCACCGTCCCGGAAGATCCACACGACGTCCACGTGCGCACGACCTTGACGGGGTCGGAGGCCATCTACGAGCCCGGGGCGCCTCATCGGGATGAGTCGCGCCGGCGCGCGGAAGGGTGCGACGCCCGCCCGCCGGCGCCGGCGCCGGTGCGGACCATCTCGGCGCGGCGTCCAGCGCCCTCGCCGCCCGTCCGCCGGCGTCCCCCTGCTCCAGGATGCGACCGGTCCCGGAGCCGGACGTGCCGCGGCCGCCGGGTCGGACGTCCCCGTCCCGGTCCGGCCCCGACAGCACGAGACCGCGTGTCGAAGCCCGCGCGACCAGCGACCGGCGGCCGACGACAAGCGCTCCGGCGGCGGGACGATCAGCCATGCAGAACGGCTGCTATCAGCCCGGCCCGGCCACGACTGGGGCTTTCCACGGCAGTGCGAACGACGCGAGCCAGCGCTCGGAGCGTCTCTGGAGCATTCCCTGCGCGGAGTCCGCGCGGCGACACGGCGACCGGCGGCGGCGGGCCGGGCCGTTCGCTCCGCGCGCGAGCCCCCTTCGCCGGCATCCGGGCCGCCTGCTCGGTGACCCCGGTACCAGGCCAGGGCGAAGGCGCGGCCGGCATTCTGATGGCGCCGGACGCCCGGACTGTCGAGCAGCTGACGTCCAAATACGGAGCGCACAGAGCCGAGCCCACCTGCCGCCGCCGTGTCGCCAACGACCGGGCCGTCGCCGGTGCCGCGGTGCAGCGGGCATCACGAGCCGGTACAGTCCGGTATGTCCCGTCCTATGAGACGTGTCGAGCTGCGGCAGCACGGCAGCGGTCCTGCTCTTGGGTTTTAGGTGTCTTCTAGGTGTGGAGGGGCTCTCGACAATTCCCAGACAGACGCCATTCGTCTCTTTTCCCACTTTCCGGCCTTTTCGTGATTGTTTTGTCTAGTTACTTTCTACTCTCCCATTTCCAGCCGCGTCACTAGCCAACGACAAGGCCAGCACCTTAAACCGCAACCGCACAGAGGCACTGGACGCGACCAGAGCCACCGACTTACTACCCCTCCATTTCGAAGTGGCCGTTTTTGACAGCCCAATCGCGTCGGCGCCGTATTTCGTCTTTCCGGCTGCCCTAATAGGACCTTACACGTCGCGGCCGATCCAATCAGTGACGAATCGCACTCGATCCACGCCCGATCAATGCAGCTAACAGGTTTTAAGGGGCCGGCGCGGGCTGTTTACAAGCAGCCTCGCGCCGATTCGGCCCACCTGCGCCAATTACCGCATGCCACAACCGCTGGGAAACGCTCCCTTCAATCGGCGTGTCGACCGATCCGGTCCCGATCCGGTCCCGATCGCGGCCTCCACGCGCGGTCCGGGCGGCGAGGGACCGGTGGAAGCGGTCCGCCGCGGTCGCGGGGTGATCTCTGGCCCCCCGGAGACGCGGCCGGCCGGCGCGGTCCGGGTAGGGAAGCCGGACGACCAGCCGACGCCGCGATACGCGCAGATAACACATATCTTCACATACACAAGTGCATGGATGGCCTAGGCATGTGCTGCACGTCACATGACGCTGCGCATAAGGCTGCAATGGCCGCCATGCCTCCAACCTCCAGCTCAGAAGCCCTAACCACCGGCCCCAGCACCGCCGATCCGCCACGATATGCATATCGCGGGGCTGGGTCATGCAAGGTCATAATGGCTAGGATTTGGCCAGGGAAGCACATAAGAACAAGTTATTTATGTCCTGGATTGTGCTGATACGTTTGCCCGAATCACATACCGAAACATAAATATGGTGAAAAAACAGGACATCAAACGACTACACCGACATCAAAAAGTTGCGCGCTTTTTGCCAGTGTTGCCACGAACGGAACTAAGTCACAGGACCTACGACATTAAACACCCACGTTTAAGACCGTCGGAGGCGGACCAGAGTTCAACACCATCTGTCACCCCGCCTCAACAACAAGCGGCGTTTCTCCCGTCTTTCGCCCGCTTTACGACCGAGCATTAAGTAACCCCGCGACCAATTACGTGAATATCTTCCCCTGCGGCGCGGCGCGGGCTCAGCACCGCCGAAATCCTCGAGGAAATGGACGCCATAAAGGAGAAAGGCGGCGACTCCGCCACCTGACAAACGACCCCAGCCTTGGAGCGTGGCGACGCGGCGTTGCGTGCGCCTCTCTCGGCGCGGGGGGCGGCGCATGTCAGCGCCGGTGCCCATTAGTCGCCGGGGCCGCG